CGGGGGCGCCGCGTGTTGGAAGCGCACCGGGCCGCCTGCCCTGACCTTCTCCTCGCTCCGGGGCGCCCCTTAACCTGGTTCTCTTCCCTCCCGAAGGCCCTGATTTGGGGGTGAGGATGAGGTAGCTCAGGAAGCGCTGTAATAAAAGTCCGCTCTCTTATGAGGACTCGCGGTTTAAGAGGATGAAAGGTCTGGACCTGCCGGCCCGCCCCAACTACTGCGGTAGGGCTGTTGGTGTCGTCAAGTGGCGTGTTCCCAGTTTAATAATGGGTTCTGAATCCATCCAGTTTCTCTAGCTTTATGATTATTGCTTATAAAGCTTATACAAGCTTAATACTTACAAAGCTGGACAAGTCGATGCTGCTTTGTCATTTCAGCTTTACTAAATGAAATACAACCAAATTACACTTCCAGGAAAGATGCTACTTCTCCCTCCCAAGGTTCACCAGCACTTCTCGGTTGCTTCACCAGTGTGCAGGTCTGAAAGCTACAGAGATTAAATCAATGTCCGTGCTCAGCTGGAGTAGAGAGACTGATTTCTGAAGTGATTCGTTCAGAGATACCAGACTTAAGTTGTAACCATCTGTTAGGCTTCAGTTGGCCATCTTTCCCAAGCCTGGGTATGGTTACAGTGAAAGCTGCAGTGCTTCACAAGGTCTGACAGCTCATCTTGGCTTTTCCCGTACGTGAAAGTCCTAGAAAAATGGCAGATGATGGCATCTTCTGTTGTTGGGCCTCTCATTAGCCTATGAGGAGGGGAAATGGAGGCCTATGGACTATCCACGTAGCTAGTTCTGCTAGTGTGTACTGGAGAAACAGTTGTGTTTCACTTGCTCGTTCATAATGACTGAACATATTCACTTTGTTCAGGAAGTCCCCCTCTTTCTGGGAAGTTCTTTGAGGGGGGCCCACTTTTCTGACATAAATTGGTTCTTGTGAAGGTCTCCTCAGAGTAAGATGTTATTTCTCTATGTACCTGACGTAGCATGCTTACCTGAACTAGGGACGTCACTTAAAATGGCAAGGGATACAATGGTATTAAAAGTGAGCTCAGGAAACACCACTGCCACTTGAGACTGGTAGCTTAGTTGCCCTGTTTCTTGGGATGTTAAACTTCAGAGGAAAACAATAGCAAAGAAAGCAAACAAAACCAGGTCATCCTGGTCTGTGTGAAATAAAAGGCTGG